GTGCAGGCTCATGGGCACAGCAGTATACCTGAAGTGTGAACATGGGTTTGTGTGCGAGAGCATGTATGCACTCACAAGCATGAAGATGTGGAAAGGTCCATAAAAAGGGTGCCAGTTGAAGGAGTTTTTTTCACATCAGCAGACAACGTATGATATGCGCCACGTCAGAACGACACAGGACAGGGAGGAGAAGGTAACAACATAACACATGGCTCAGCTATCAGCGTGGACAGAAGAACACCATGCCACACGACAACAACACGGTGACAGATGCGTCAGCACATCCTTATCTATCACAGACCCAGGAGGTCCAACTGCCTACTGGTAGATCCTGGAACAGAGACAGTTTGAGGTACACAGCATTTCCGCATTTATGCGTTCTTTCTCGTATCCTCGAGAGCATTCATCATCACCAGAAAAGGGCCTATCCTGACAGACTTGCGTTGAGATCCTCTGAGCAGCACAGACTGCACTGTCGCTATGTGGGGAGGTGGCGTTTCGCAAGGCGCCGCAAAGGTCAAAAACATTCTCTCAACCATGACCTCCACCATCTGTGCCCAAAACGAATCTGTTGAATTGTCGCCGCTTCACACCGCAGCCGCTGCAATCTCCCCTGGGTCAAAGTCAAGTCACGGCATCAACCAAGCACATTTTTCTCTCACTCAGTCTGCGTCTCCTCGCGTGACATGCCCTGAGGGCCAGGCTGACTCTGCTGTGACTGTTGTTGCTGCTGCTGCTGCTGCTGTTGCTGTTTTTGTGGGTAGCACGAACGTGCGACGTTTTCAAACAATCTGTGGAGTAAACAGGATAAATCTTAAAAGGGTAGGGTCGATTTGTGTAAAATTTGAACTGTCTTACTGCAATCCTGGCAGGTTTCTTTTACAGAGTCCCAGCTAGGAGTATAACAACTGTAGCAACAAAACCAGGTCAAGCTAGTGCCAAACACTGGGAGTTGTGCTAGACAGTGAGGGACTTTGATGAAAGAAACATTTTGCCAAGAATACTAACTTAACTATTTACTTTTTCATCCTCTGTTGCCATTAAGCGTCGAGGGGAGAGGCAATTTATTTTCTAGGGTAGGCCAGGAAAAGTAAATAGAAATAAGTCACACTGAAAAAGGTAGGAGTAGCAAACAACTCCAGAGGTTTTGTTTGTTTTAGCAGAGGTTTAACGGCGCTCGCAACTGCATAAAGTCATATGAGCGCCAGAAGATTAGAGGTGTTACAAGAGAGTAACAAACATAAAAAAGAAGGAGGGGAGATAAGGACGATAGATGTTTGATAGGAAAAAAGAAGCAAACCACACCAGAGCACCCTCCAACCACCCACCACCCCAGAGTGCTCTTTCAGTCATCTCTTAAATGCTTAGAATCCAACCAAGCAATACAGCAATTGTAAAATTTAAAGAGAATCAGCAAACTCAGGGATACCACTCACTGGGATTTGTGAAATTAACTAAAACTTTACGAGGCTGCTTTCTAAACAAATAGAGAATTAATAGACATATCACAAATATGGGGTCAACCTGAAAGCACATACTCAGAATAATGACTTCTTTCAGAATTTCAGTGAAAACAAATGATGGGGGGGAAAAACCTCAGGAAAAAAAGGATCCGTGTACATAAAAGATAAATCCCTATCAGCCATAAGTGTGTAATTGTAACTGTAAGTATTTTTATGACCCACCCACACAATTCAACTAATAAAGGAGGCGGGCTGTTTACACCATGCCTATCCTGGCCAACCCAGGCAGTCTGGGATACAACATCCAGCAGGCAGATGGTGATACTCAATTTCAAAAAAAGCAAAAAAACTTCACTACTCAGGAACCTCCGACACATGCATATATATGCAACAATCATTATCAGAAAGAAAACACCTTTTTAGTAGAGGTTTTACGGCGCTTGCAACTGCATAAGGTCACATGAACGCCAGAAGATAAGAGGCATTACAAGAGAGTAACAAACATAAAAAAGAAGAAGGGGATATAAGGACGATAGATGTTTGATAGGAAAGAAGAAGCAAACCACACCAGACCACCCATCAACCACCCACAAGAAAACACCCTCGAGTACTTTGACAACTGAAGAGGAAAAGGCGGCGCACTTACTTCTCAATCTCAGGGGCGCATCTCACAAACTCGTGATCCCAGAACTTGAAGTTCTGGTTTTTGATGAGCTCGATGAAGGTGATGAGGAGTCCCCATGGGTGAGGTCTGTTCACGATCAGACGCTCCAGCAACACTCTGGAAGGGGGGGGGAGAGAAGAAAAAAAAAGGAATAGAAATTCATCCTTTACTCATCATGCATTCCTGAAACTCTGAAAAAAAAATTTTAATGGAAAGAATGTTCCTAACTAAACATTACAGTCACCCAAACACTAGTGAAAAATCTTTCAAAGAAGCATGTCGGGCAACCAATCATAAGACATTTCCGTGTCTCTCTCTCTCTCTCACCACACACACACACCGCAAAATATATCACTCGCTCCGTCCTCGACAGGTTTGTCCATGGACAGTAGGATGCGCTAACGCTCTCCATCACTCTCTTAGTTCTGCGTGAGGGGCAGTCTTGCCAAATATCTGGTAGTCTAGATTTGTGTTATGCAAGCTGTTTAGGTTGCAGCCAAAATTTCCCTTTGTCAAGCTTTACCTGTCGTGCGTTTCATGAATTGCCTTCAGGAACACACAGACCCCCCCCCCCCCCCCCGAGTGTAGGCCTATTTCAAAAGAAGAAAAAAATCAATAACCCCCCCCCCCCCCCTCCGATTTCCAAGGGTCCTATATTTCGCAGCATTCAGACTTTGAATGAACTTTGGTGAAGCAGGTTCGCTGACAGGTCACGATGGCGAGCCCGACAAAACGCTTTAACTTCCATTTCCATTTATTTTTTTTTACAAGGGACAGCACATTGACAAATATTGATTTATTTTCATGGCAGCACCGCATTTTCGTTTCGTTAGAGTTTTACCACCATACAAACTACTCAAACTGCTGAAATTCCACTAAACACAACAGCAGGACGCTTAGAGAGGTGGCAAAAGCGTTTTGTACCTGGTGATGAGCTCCTGTATTGTCTGGTCGTTGGCCTGTCGGAACAGGTAGAGCAGGGCGCAGCTGAAGTAGTGCGTGTGGCTGTTGGGGTAGCGCAGCTGGTTGGCGATGGCCGTCAGGAACAGGTAGCGTCCTGGTCGATACAATCAAACACAACAGATATCAGGCAAAGCACAATTCATTTTGTTTGAGTGAAAAGAGATGCACCAACACAATAACTGTCATTTAGTGTGAGGGAGAAAGAAAAGGCAAGACACTGACAGAGACAAAAAAGGCAGAGTAAAGAATGAGAATCAACCAATGGCTTGTATAAAGCAATTTTACTGATATATTCGACTAAGCATCAGACAAGAAACAGTTCAAGCAGGCATGGCCAAGATGAACAAAGAACAGTTTGGACAGAGAAAGTCAAATTAAGAACTGACAAGATGTTACATTTAGAAGATCCAATAAACAAGTTTTTAGTATTAATAAGAGTTTTATGGCACTTGCAACACAATACGGTCATAAAGTGTCGAAGATTAAAGGTGTTACAAGAGAGTAACAAACAGAAAAAAGGAGGAGAGAAAAGGACGATAGATGTTTGATAGGAAAGAAGAAGCAAACCACACCAGAGCACCCGCCAACCACCCACATAAATAAACAAGTTTTTCTCTCTCAAACACACACACACACACACACACACACGCACAAACGTACTCTAGGACACCTCCAACACAAGTACAACGACTCACCCTCTGTGTCCAGGTTGACCGCCAGATTCTCAAAGATGTCCATGTGGGAGGAGGGAGCGATGGTGGACATGCTGACCCCCTTGGTCTGCAGCAGCGGGATGGCCTGTGTCCCCACATACAGCACCAGCGCGTTGATCAGGGGGATGTCGTAGCGGCTTCCCTGAGGGTTGGCCTGCACACACAGTTTGTTTCATTTAGTTCAGTTTTAGTAAGAGTTTTAACGCACTTGCAACTGCATAAGGTCATATGAGCACCAGAAGATTAGAGGTGTTACAAGAGAGTAACAAACATAAAAAAGAACAAGGGGAGATAAGGACAATAGATGTTTGATAGGAAAGAAGCAGAAGCAAACAACACCAGAGCACCCACCAACCACCCACCACGGCACTTGCAACACAATAAGGTCATATAAGTGCTGAAGATAAGAGGTGTTAAAAAAGTAACAAACACAAAAAAGAAGGAGGAGAGATAAGGACAACAGATGTTTGATAGGAAAGAAAAAACAAACCACACCAGAGCACCCGCCAACCAACCACTTCAATTTAGTAAAGAGAAGCTCATCCACACAAGAATGAATAATAAGAGCACGGAAAAAGCAAGAAGGTAGACAGAAATAACAGAGGGGAAGAAAAGAAGCAAGACCTACCGGTGCCGAGCCCCGAGCCCCCCCCCACACACACACACACACACACACACACACACACACACACACATCAACCTATGAAAAATTCTCACAAATTTCTTCACTTTTCAAACCTTGCTCCTCTTTCAAAATATTCTACCAGAAAATGAAACCAGGTAACTGAAACATGCTAAGACTAATTATCACGCGACCTTTAACTTTTCCGATCCAGCCGCCATGTGGGTTCTAGCCCTTTGGCCTCTGCTACCTTTAAAAAACCCATTATGTTACACATCAGCTGAGACTATGTAAGGAGCAGAAGCACTGGCCCACTGTCAGATTTGATTTACAAGACTTCACATTGAGGTGTGCGTTGGGTGAGCAGATGGACAGAGGTGGCGCATGCTCCATCATGCTCTCAGGTCCAAAGAGTTCAACATTCATGTCAAAAATATAGCTAATGGGAGGAGGAGTGGGTGATGCAAAGACCAAAAAAAAAAGTTTTTTTATAACAAACAAAAGAAGAAAAAAATTATGCAAATTTTTTCCTCTTTCAAGAAGTATCTTCCCCAGCAAATGGTAAGGTGACTATACCTGCAGATTGCTCTTCAGTTCTGACAGGAAGGTGATGGGAGCCCTCGACTTGAGGTAAGAATCCAGGTCCTGTCAGACAAACAAACAATTAATAATCAATAACAAACACACACGAAAAAAATAAATTTATAATTAGATCAAATAAGATAAACAGCACCAATAATCTCTCTTTATTCTATTAACATACATTTGTTCAGCAATCGAACTATAATGATTCCAGGTCATGTCACGATATTCCATTTAAAAAGAATTACTTTACTGGATAAGAAAGGATCTGGAAACTTCCAAGTAAAACCTTCAAGAAATCAGGGCAAAAGGCACATACTTGTTGCAGCAAAAGCAACAACATCAACAGCACACACAACAACAGCACACGCAACAACAACAACAACAAGAACAACAATAACAACAACATAAAGCGTACCTTTTTGAAGGAAGCGGGCTGTATCAGCGACACAATGTTGGTGAGAATGCGAGGCGCCTTGTTGATGTCGGGCAGGTGCTCCACCACTAGGTTCACTGTAAAAGGGTCGGGCAGCCGCATCGTGCGCGGGAATGCGCTCAGGATCAAGTTGCGCATCTGAATGCAGTTGGGCGGGATCACGTCGCAGAAGGCATAGTGGTAGTCGCAGAGGAACTCTGGGAAGTCGTGGAGAAGGACCAGCAGAACGCGCAGAGTGCCCTGTCAAACAACACAAGACACGCATTCAGGATATGATGGTCATTATTGTATAAAGTTCACATCCGTATCGACATAATGTAGGTCATGTGGGAGGCGGGCTGCTACAAACCTGCCCGTCAGGGTCTACCTGGGCTGAGTGGGATACAACATCCCAGCAGACAGATGGAAAAGCTTCCTTGCTCGGGAATGAAAAATCTTCCACATACAACTATTTCACCACAGCACTAGACGCCATTAGACATTCAGGATAACTGTAGTCAAGTCATGGTAAACAGCAAGTCTGAGTGATCACACTTACCCAACTTGCCAGAAGTTTTGAGTAAAAACAAAGCACATAAATAAATACAACAAAAGAAATATAGAACTGAGAAAGAGCAACACAGACAGCAGAAACAAAGAGAGATAAAAAAAGAACTGCTAATCAATGGCGCCCTCCAACCGCCTGAAGGAATCTACTGCAGTGAGAAAGTAAAATAGACAGAGGCAGAAATAAAAGAAGGACAGCAAAGAACAGGACTTCCACCCAAACGCAGCAAGCGACCCCACACAGCTGTCTCTCAGAAAAATATGCCAAGTGGCAGTGAAACATATTCAAAAATGGAGAAAAAAATCTCAACAGTCAAATAATTCAGAACAGGTGCCACACCTATCATCAACTGTAACTGTCGGTGTATTAAAAAAACACAAATGAGTTTGGGTCTTTTCCACAGTGATTTCCATTACAGCATTAAAAAAAGAGAAAAAAAAGTTTTTCTCCCCAAAAGACAATATTCCTAAATTTGGTCCCCTTGCATATTTCAACTGAATTAGAATACGCAAACATTAAAATTTACGAGCGTGAAATAAACAAATCTTCATCAACTTAGGGTTGAACCATAGGGTTCAGTAATACTCTGCATAATACTGCAAGCCCTCGTGGGATAAAGAAAAATAGATGTCCTGCATTCACAAAAGGATTTTCAGTTTTAAAAGAATTACTTAGTAAGAAAGGAAGGGATCTGGCGTTACAAAAATTACACCCCACAATTGTGCTGCAGTGGGAAGAGAGACGTTTGTTTATTTACCTTATAGAGCAGCTGCACAGGCTTGGTCATGTCAGCGTTCCTCAGGAACGGGGCCAGGATCTTGAACAAATCCACCAGGAGCTGAGCGTAGAAGCCCCAACCCTGCAACAGGCAAACAGATGTTCAGCCATATCCAACACACAGACAGACAAGCACAATCTGCGAGGAGAGGAACGACTGACAGCTTTGTCAGTCACTGGCTCTACACTTTCCATAAGTATAATAATATTGTACAGTTGAGTCTTCAATCATAATAGAGTTAAAATCTCTTAGATACAAAGGCAGTGATCTTAAGCTTAAAAGAACATTTTTAGGGGCACATATAAAAAATACAACACTTTTGGGCATCATGTACGAAACTTTAGTTCCTTTAATCCTTTTCTGTTGTCGATTGCGGAATGGTTACAAATAAAGACATTTCATTTTACATAATCTCAAGAGTCGAAAACAGGTGGACTTTGATGCCAAGATCAATTTCATGACAATAAGGAAAAAGTGCACAATGCCATTCCAGCTAAAAAACAAAAGGTACATGGACAATGAGTTGGGAAAACTAACATGACACGAACATTTCATTCAGTCCTTTTACATTAAGATTGTGTCAATGAGACCCTTTTCCAACAATCATAAGACAAGAAGAACAATAACATACCCTCTGATTGGGAGTGAGGGCCAACAAGCGCCCGATGAAGACGCGGTGAGAGATGAGCTCCAGCCAGGCGTAGGCAAAACCTGGCGCCTTTGCTGGTCGCAGGATGTGGAACACATGGCTGAAACATTATTGAAAAAGGGGCGGGGACAAAAAAAGAGTCATTTCGCATAAAATTACTCCAGCTCTATTTAGCTGTGTTTCATGCGCAAGCCTTAGAGAACGCTGAGTCTACGAAGCACACTGGACCAGACAATGCCTACAAAAGCCACTTACAGAAGGATATACATAGAATACGTGAAGCATCGTGGTGAAATCAAGCGCTCGTCAAAATACTGAAATCAAAGATAAATTTTTTCGCAGGTTTGGCAATTTTAATTGAATTTTTTTTTTTTGGCCCAACACCTTTTATGTCCATTTAAAAACATATTGTTATGTGGATGTGACTAAAAAAAACATTGATTTAAGACACAATTAATACAAACTTGCAGTTTCCAAGAACACTCAAGCTTTTAAAGTCACCAGACTCCGGTGGCCGTTTTCTCACTAATATTATCTCTAAAATCAGACAGCCCATATCTCCTTCGATCGCAAATATCTTGACTTCGATTCACGATAGACGGGTATTTTTTCATTAAAAGATAGACAAAAGAATAGGCTTTAAGGTGATACCAATAACTCCACAATCCCAAAAATTTATGAGCGCCTGATTCCACCGTGTTGTGACACATGTTCCGGAGACAAAGCACGAGCTCCAAATAATATTTTTTTAAAACAGACAAAATGGAAAAACGGGAAAAAAAAAAGAAAAAAAATACGGTCGAAATGATCCAAGATGGCCAACCACTGTCAAGAACAACAGTGGCTGTCTTAGACAGGTGGCCATTAGAGCAGCCTGCTCTAATGCAGCCTGCTCTA